TTTATAACCAGTGCTGCTATCGATCAGCAGTTCCAAAAATTGATACTGGATGATTTGCTGTTTTGAGGACTCTGTTATCCATAATCTCAGAAGGGAACATACTATTGATCATTCCAAAGTTTCTGAATCATCTCAGATTTTCAGAAATTAAAAACAGCAAATTGATAGGAGAGAAAGACAGGCATTGATATAATCCTTATGGCCTGATTTGTATAGGCCTTGATAATTGTAGAACTAAATTTTGGGGGGGTGCATTTGAAACCTATATTTATCCCTCAATTCATCTTTTATTTGCAGATGTTTCTTAATGCCCAACATATGCCAAGTATTGTTCTAGGTGCTGTGGGCACAGCACTGCACAAAATCCCTCCAAAGTAAAGTAAAATATAGTGTGTTAGAAAGTAATAAGTGCTATAGAAAAAACAAGGGAAAAGGAAATAACTATTGGGGGAGAAGGGATTGCAAATCTAAATAAGCTGGTACTGAGAAGGTCATATTTCAACGAAGACCTGGGATGGAGATTGAGGTGAGGCAGGGCAGCAAGCCATGAGAAGATTATTCCAGACAGAGGGACTAGCACAAGCAAAGGCCCTGAAGTGCGGGAGCCAAATATGTTAAAGGAACAGTGGGTGGCCAGTATGACCAGGCAGAGTGGGTGAGAGTGAGACAGGTTACCGCAGAGGAGCTCTGACCGTCATGTCAAAATATAAAGTGAGTAACTTTAAAGAATGGAAATTTATTTTCTCAAAATTCTGGAGGCTAGAAGTCTGAATTCAGGGCATCAGCAGGGCTATGCTCTCTGTCAGCTCTATAGGAAGATCCTTCCTGTCTCTTTCAGCTTCTGGTAGCCCCGAGCATTTCTTGGCATTTTCTGGCTTGTAGACTGCTGTCTTCTCCCTGTATGTGACACTCTATCTGTGTCTATCCTACTTTATGAAAGATGCCACTCAGAAGGGGTTAGGATTAGGACCCACCCTACTCTGATATGATTTCATTACTTTAACTGATAACATCTGCAATGAAAAACCCTCTTGGCCTGAACAAGGTCACATTCACAGGTACAGGGGTTAGACATTTAGCATATCTTTTTGGGGGACACAATACAGTTCATAATAGAGGCATGTTAAGGGTCAAATCGAATAGTATTTATAGACCATTTTAAAGCCTTTGGCCTTTTCTCTGAGCAAGATTAGAAATCACTGGAGGATCACACTTGATACTCTGTTGAGAAGAGACAAATTCCCTCTGGCAAAGCATTTGATGTCCAGGAAGTGTAGTTGATTGCTGAAATACTCTGAATGTTATCAAGTCATGAAATCACACTGCTCTCTTGGCTTGAAATAATTTATGTCCATCTTTAAGTTCCTAATTAAGGAATGATTTAGGTGCTAGTGACAGTCTGGTTATTGTTTTATACTGTAAAATTATAATTTTTATTATGCTATTTCAACACATCTTTAGTTTCTAAAATAGTAGAGCTTCTCTGCCAGTGTATTCATAGTTGGCATTGAATTTTACCATAGGGAGCCCTGGTGGTGCAGTGGTTAAGAGCTTGGCTGCTAACCAAAAGGTCGATAGTTGGAACCCACCAACTGCCCCATGGGAGAAAGATGTGGCAGTCTGCTTCTGTAAAGATTTACAGCTTTGGAAATGCTATGGGGCAGTTCTACCCTGTCCTGCAGGGCCACTATGAGTCAAAATCAACTCAACAGCAACTGGTTTTTTTGGTTTTTTTAATGGTTTTCATGGTTACAGTTATTTTCTATTTATTTATCCATTCCCACATTACTGAGCTTTTAGTCTCTTTCAACCTTTTTGCTATAATAAATCCATGACAGAGGAGTCATGACTGTCTGCAGTGCTTCCATCAGACATTTTATTGGAACCAGTGAAAAGAATGTGAAACAGAAAGTCAGAAGACCTGGAATGTAGTCCTGCTTTTCTGCTAACCAGCTTTGGGAGCTCAGCAAAGACATTTATCAGGAGTCAGTTTGAGGCTGCATAATCAAGCTCTAGGATTTTGTGATTCTGCTTTTTAAATTCCTGATTATTTTGTTTCTCTCAACTTCTATGAAATATATTACCAAAAAATTTGTTGTTGTTAGCTGCCATCAAGTTGGCTCTGACTCACAGTGACCTTATTTATAATAGAATGAAATGGTGCTGTGACAGAAAAACAGGCATGGTGGGAGACGGCCTACTCAGTGCTACCTTGATGATCACATACTCTTTTTTTGGAAGTCAGCAGTGTTGAAATACACACGTAAATACACACACATATCCATTCACTCATTCATGTTAATAATGCATGCAAAGCAAGGCTGTCTGGGTTTGCAGCTGCGTGACAGAAATACCTCATACAAAGCATCTGTGGGCCCCCACCTCATTACATGGGACAAGAGGAAAAGCTGTGAAATAGGGAGAAATTATTTTCTGAATCTTGTGCCTCTTGAGTTCCATTACGGTGCCCAGAGAGGGTTACTCAAATTTTCTCCTCCATTTATTTTTCAGCTACTGTTGATAGACTGAAACTCATTTACAGCAAAATGTAACCCCATATATCTTTTATTTCAACCTCCCTGTGGGCACCTGCCCCCAATTAACAGTCTGTTATACATTAATAAGTAGTCAGATGTTTCTTTGGAGATATGATGGGAAGGTGCAAGAGGGGCAGAAGTCTCTTTAAATTTCACTTAGACCTACCTTTCTGACTTTGAAAGTAAACTGAGTTATTCTTAACTGGCAGAATGTGGTGCTCAGAGGAGAGGGTTCACTGTCTGTTCCACCAGATAGGTCTCTCTCTCTCCTCCATCCCAGTTACCCCTGTTTACCCCGTTCTGTAGACTGGGTGTTGGCAAGCTCTCCTTTTTATTCCCTCTGCCATGGCCTGTTGAAGCTTTCATTACCACCATTCTGGATCTGTATAATAATTCCCCATTTAATCTCTCACTTCTTCCTTCCCAATCCATCCTACTGCCGGCTGAATCTTTTGAAGTACATCCTTCTACCCAAGTATCCTCCAGGAACTCTTCTTTGCCTGCTAAATGAAGTTCTCACTCTTCACCATGACATTCAGAACCTGACCTGTTTTGACATTTTATTCCTTTCATCTCCCTCATTCATTTCTACCCTCCACTACATGGGGTTATTACCTGCTCTGACCTTCCCATCTTGTGCTTGATGTCCTTATTGCTTGAGGACATTTCTTTCATCTTTTGCCTGGGAGGTTGCTACTGAGCCTTTAAGTTTGTCTTAAATGACTGTCAGGTCCACTCAGCCAAGCATGATCTTCCACTCCCTCAGACCAGCAGAGGATTCTGTAACTCTCTGAGGTACTTAGAGTCCCTCGTGATTTATTTGTTGATTTATATTATCCCCCTACTTGAATTGCCGCATCCTTGAGGGACTCAAAAAATGACCTACCTTTCCATATTACCTTCTGTGTTTTCTTTAGGAACTTTAACTTACTAGGACTCATGGGTATTTATTTACCAAATTGAATAAAGAAATCTGCATCAGGCACCACAGTTTGAAAGATTTGTTATAATTCAGCCAGACCACTGACATTTAGGTTTCTTCTTCCATCAGCTCCACCATTAAGTGTAGATCTGTCCTCAGTTTTCTCTGCTTCATGACTCCTGGGAACGCATTTGCTGTTTTGTACATCAAATATAACTATAATCAACATTTAATATTTTTACTGCTATTTGAAATATGGTGTTATTTACCACCTTTGAATTATGGTGTTGGAGAAGAATATTGAATACACTATGGACTACCAGAAAAACAAACAAATCTGTCTTGGAAGATGTACAGTCATAACGCTCCTTAGAAGCGAGGATGGTGAGACTTCATCTCACATACTTTGGACATGTTATCAGGAGGGACCAGTCCCTGGAGAAGGACATCATGCTTGGTAAGGTAGAGGGTCAGCGAAAAAGAGGAAGACCCTCAAGGAGATGGATTGACCCAGTGGCTGCAACAATGGGCTCAAACATAGCAATGATTGTGAGGATATTGGACTGGGCAATATTTTCATTTTGTTGTACATAGGGTCGCTATGAGTTGGAACCCACTCGACGACACCTAACAACAACAACTGCTATTACCTCCTTTTTGTAATAACTTGAAATCTTCTGCCTTTACATTATTTCTTTTCTAAATATGAAATTTCTGACAACATTTGGCATTGATCAGACATCTCTTCATTAATACATATCCAGGTAATCCAAAGACTACATGAAATGTCTCTCAACAAAATTGAGAATTGGCTGGATCTATTTTGAGATTTTTGAGGCTTGCACCTTATACTGTGTCTGTCTTGAGTGAAGTGTCAGAGAGAGAGAGAGATTGATTGGAATTGAGATTTATTTATTTATTTTAAGGAATTGGCTTACATGATTGTGGGAGTCAAGTGTCAGGCTGGAGATTCCTGCAGTCTTGTGTCCCAAATCCATAGGTCAGGCAACAGGAAGAATGAGGAGTTCTGGCAAAAAGTTTTTTTATAGTCTGGAGGCAGAATACACCCTAGGGAAAACTCCCTTTTTGTTTTTAAGGCCTTCAACTGATTGGATGAATCCTACCACATTATGGAGGAAAATCTGCTTTAAAAGACAACTGATTTAATCACATGTAACTACTTCGTAACAGCATCTAGACTAGTGTTTGATCAAACTGCACACCATAGCCTCACCACGTTGACACAGAAAAGTAACTATCACACACACTTAACCTTTTCCACTTCCTCCTTGTTGCCAACCTGAATGATCCTTAACTTAGGACTCAATGCAAGAAGGTTGAGAACCACTAAATACCTACAATGTAAACAGAAAAGAAGTTCTCTGTCCCAGTGGTTCAGAATGGAAAATAATAAGGAAATTTCAAGGGATGTTCATGCAGAGTGTTTGCTTCGCACATCATTTCAGTGTAGAAATTCAGAGGAGAAATGCTTACACAATGTGTTTCATAATTTGATTTTTTTTTTCTCTTTCTTTTAACAGGTTTCACCAAAGCTCATGCCAATGCAGCAGATCGCATCTTGAAATGTAGAACAGATATTTGTCCCAGGATGTGGTTTTTTTTTTTTTTTTCAGTTTAACCACATAGGAGCTAATTGAAAAGAAGTCAATAATCACATTTGTCTGCTTAATAAGCCATTTTTACCTAGTTGTTTTCTAGTATCTCAGGCTTTATATAGCCATGTAGGCTTTGTTCTCTCAAATGTGCTATGGCCTTATTAAGGAAAAACAAAAGGAAAACATATATGATTATCTTGTTTGTTTCATAAGCGTTGTTGAGAAGGCTGTCTTTACAGTTGGTGCTCACATTGGATGTATTTTCACCTGTGATATGTATGTTAAATTATATGCGGTTTTATCAAGGTAGTTCCTTGGAAAGAGTTTTGTTGACAATGCTTTCCCTCCTTGCTAAATTGTGTAGAAAAAAAATGAAGAGGAAGAAAAATAATCTCACCCAGAGAATACCCAAGATGGCATTTTACTAGTACTACAAGAAAGATACAATCATACACTTAAATTTGTAATAGGAAGAAATCCTGTCTTAAAGATTATTTATTTCTTCATCCTCCTCTGATTTTCTTTTGGGGCTACTTCTGTGATTAAATCTTATTTTTCTAGAGCATCCTGCCGTCTCATACTTTTCATAGCTAAATAGATGTCCCAAGACGGAAAGCAGACCATCTCTGGGTGGGAGAAGTAACTGTTAGTAGGAGAGACCGAAGCATGTAGGATCTATTGCTGCTGACATTCCACCAAGAAGCTGCCTTTATAAACAAAACAGACAAACCGTCTGTACTTTGGAAACCCTGGTGGTGTAGTGGTTAAGCGCTACGGCTACTAACCAAAAGGTTGGCAGTTTGAATCTACCAGGCACTCCTTGGAAACTCTATGGGGCAGTTCTGCTCTGTCCTTTAGGGTCACTATGAGTCGGAATCAACGACAGCGAGTTTGTTTTTTTTTTTCATCTGTACTTTGCTCAATACTAAGGCTTATTATAGGAAGAGGGCTAAAAACCTAACTAATCTACCGAGTTTTTTTTTTCCATTTCAAAACACTGCAGTATTTCTGTGTGTCCAGAAGTGTCCTTAAGACTCTTCCTACATGTTATTGTGGCCCAGTTGGCTACTTGTACAATACCTCTTCTTAAGCCAAAAGAGACTGAGGGAGTAATTTACCACAAATCCTCAGTCATAAAGACAGCAGAGTTAGAAAATAATAAGGATTTTTTTCCAGGCTCTCTTATTTCTACTCAGAAAAGATTCTAATTATTGAATTAGTTTTTCTAGAGAGCAGTGTGATTTTTGTTCTGCCAAGGCTACTTCCTTTAACAAAGTACTTTTAAATTCAGCCTTATCCAAATAGGAGAAATAATGAGAAGCAAATCCAGGTTTTGAAGAGTTGATGAACTGTTAGATTTGGGGAATAAACATGGTGAAGTAGGTTTTATAAGGAACTTTCCCTAAGAGGTATCTTCAGTACCAGACACCTTAGAAGTATCCTTGGTATTATAATAAAAATTGGAAAATACAGGTAAAATAATCATAGTAAAATTCTGATCGTTACTGAGGCTGGGGGTGATGGGTACATGAAGAGTTCATTATACCATTCACTTTAGTCGTAAATTTTTCATATTAAAAAGGTTTTCAAGGGAAAGTTATAAATGCAATATCTATTACAGCACCTTTGTAATAACTACAATTCTGAATAAGGAAAATTAGTGAAGGTTTCTTGGATTTTGGATAAGAAATTTAGTCAAGAACTGCAGTGTCAATGGGGGAGAGAATATGACAATGGGTCTTTAAAAATCAAGGCTCGTTTTATTCTTCTAGTCACTAATAATGCAAATCTCAGTGCTAAATAGGAGAATAAAAATAAATGCAAAGAGCATGAAAAGATATTCAGCATCAGGAAAATGCAAATTAAAACCACAATGAGATACCACTATACTCCTATCAAGGTGGCTAAAATTAAAAAACAAAATGACAACACCAAATGCTGGTGAGGATGCAGAGAAACTAAATCACTCATACTTTGCTGTGGGAATGTAAAATGGAATGTTGTTGTTATTTGCCTTTGAGTCAATTTCAATTCATTGTGACCCCATGAGTGCAGAGTAGAACTGCTCCATAGATTTTTTTTTTTTTAATAATATATTATTGTGTTTAAGGTGACATTTTCACAGCAAATTAGATTCCCATTTAACAATTTCTACACAAATTATTCAGTGATATTGATTACATTTTTCACAGTGTGTCATCATTCTTATTCATTCTGGTTGTACCATTTTCAGTACTCTAGCTTCCCTGCCCACTTACCTTCTTATCTTTGCTTTAGAGTAATTTTTTACCATTTTTTAAAGAAGCTCATTACTCCTGGGTAATGAGCCAGTCTGTCTAAAAGGTGACCTCAGGGGATAATTTTAGTTTAAACTTTAAAGAGTGTCTCAGGGTGTCCTCTAGTCTCAATTGGTCCAGTAATTCTGGACTCTTTAAGAATTTGAGTTCTGTTCCACATTTTTCTCAAATTCTATCAGGATTCGTCTATTGTGGCCCTGATTAGAACAGTCGGTAGAGGTAGCCTAGCCGGATGCCATCTCGTTCCTCTGGTCTCAGGGTAAATGAGACCATGGTTCCTGTACATTTTTAATCCTTTGGACTACTTTCTTCTCTGAGTCTGGTTTCCTTCTTTCTCTTTTGCTCTGGACTAGTAGAAACAAATACTTCTATCTTAGATGGCCACTTGTAAGCTTTTAAGGCCCAAGACACTGCTCACCAGTTTGGAATGTTATGCCACTTAATTGAGTTGTCCCACAAGACTATGGTCCTAAGCCTTCAAACCCAGAAAACAATCTTGTGAGGTGTTTGGCTATGTCTAAGTCCATAGGGTTTTTAAGGCTGTGACCTTTTGGAAGCAGATCACCAAGCTGTCTTCTGAGGTGTCTACTGGGTCGGTTCAAACTGCCAACCTTTTGGCTACTAGTCAGGTGCTAAACTGTTTCGCCACTCAGGGAATCCATAAAATGGCAAAGCACTCTGGAAAACAGATTCTTATAAAACTAAATATGCAATTACCATACAGCCCACCTGTTTTACTCTTGGGCATTTTTCACAGAAAAATGAAAACTTATGTTCATACAAAGACCTAGACACAATTGTTAATAGCAGCTTGATTCATAAAAGCAAAAACTGGAAGCAGCTCAGTTGTCTTTCAATGGATGAATGGTTAAACTGCAGTACATCTGCAACATGGAAAACTACTCAGCGATAAAAAGAGAATGAACTATCGATACAACAACTAGGATGAATATTCAGGAAGTTATACTGCGTGAAAAGAGCCATTCCCCAAAGGTAACATACAGTATGATTTCATTTATGTAATTTTGAAATGACAAAATTTTAGAAATGGTTGCCAGGGATTAGGGACCTGGGAAGAGAAGTGTGAGGAAGATGGGTGTGGCTACAAAAGGACCACATGAGTGGTCCTTTTGGTGAAGGAACTCTTCTGTATATTAACTGTGGTGGTGGGTATATGAAAGCACACATATAAAATTGTATAGAACTAAATATACAAATGAGTACAAGTAAACCTGGGAAAATCTGAACAAGATCAGTGGGTGGTATCTACATCATTAACATGGCTGTGACATTGTATTATACTATAGTTTTGCAAGATGATAACATTGGGGAAAATAGCTACCAAGTACATGAGATCTCTGTATTATTTCTTACAACTGCATGTGAATCTACAATTATCTCAGTAAAAATTTCAATTAAAAAATAAGTGCAAAAATAACAAAGTTCAAAGACTGGCTTTTTTAACCTCTGCTCAAAACCTTCTTGGTGGATGTTCTTCCTGGCTTTTTTCCTCTTGGAATAAAAATAAGATTGTAAGCTTCCTACTAATTATAGAAGTAGTCGTTTACTTTGTTTTCCCTAGGATTGCCACTCACTAGCCAGATGACTTTGAGCAAGTTACTTAACCTCACTGCCTGTTTTCTAATGTGTAAAGAGATATACTACTTTCCTTAAAAGGCTGTTGCAAGGATTTAAAGGTATATCTCAAGTGCCTAGTACATAGTAGCATCAAAAATTTCCCCTTCACTTTGGAGATCAGTTTTTCATTTGTAGATTTTCTAGGACCCCTGATTTTCTCCGTCTTTTGCTCCTTTGGGATTTTTCGTATGTGTTAATGTGCTCCCTGGAACATAAATAATATTGATGTATAGTAAAATCTCTGGTTAAGGGGGGAAAAAAATTAGGGAGATAAAACTAATGACCAAAAAGAGATACTGGATTGTCTGTGGTTTTTAATTATCTGTTCTCTTCCTGGCCAAGTACATGTAGTATATGAAATCAAGAATTAATGCCATTGAAGTTAATGGAAATTTAAAATGATGAACAATTATGCCACTAAAGATGAACATAAATTCTCATGGTGGTTTCTCATCACTTCTCATTTAGTACCAAGGACACCTGTTAATCTTCCAATGTAGAAGTGCTCAGTGAGAGCCTGTACTGGCCTTGTGATGGAAAGTTATAAAAACCAGCATTGCACTACCAGTAATTATGTGCATATCCAGGTTCATCTACTTCTGTGAAGCAGTAAGCATTTTCAAAGGTATAATGATAAACATTACCCTTTTAAAAAGCAAGCCAGGAATTTTCTGTTTCCTTTAAGGGTGGTGTAGATTGTTATAGATAAAACTGGCCATAGAAAGCAACCAGGAAAGCTGGATAAGATACCCTTTTACCCCCCACTGCCCAAATGCTTGAAGGCATCAAAGAGCATACAATACAGCTGAACCTTCCTGGAGCAGAAATGAAGCTCATTGAGGTTGGTCTGATATTCTTAAACCTGACATTACATGTGTTGTAGGGGAAAAAAAATCAGAAAGTTTAGTAAAGGAAAAAAAGTTTTATTTGGCATATGTTCAAAGAGGCAAAGATAGGAAAATGAACAAGCATGCTGCTAAAGCCATGTCTGCCCAAGTCAAGGAATATTACAGAATAGGCAAGAGTGGGAAAACAGACAAGCATGCTGCTACAGCTATGTCTGCTGGAGTCTGAGGAACATTACAGAATCATCAGTATATATTAACATTACAAATGGGCAAAACCATTGAAAGCTTCACCTTTTCACAGATTGGCTAGAAACTGTGATCCTGCATTTTGAATTGTCTTTCTTAACAATCATTGGTACAGGTTTCAGTAACGACAGTCAGGAGGGTCCTCATTGGTCCAACAAGTTTTCTATTCACTAAATGCTAACAGAAAAAGATAAGAGTGGAAAGTCTTTTGTGTTGTTTGAATGATTTATTTGAAAGGTTCCCTAAAAGATACTTTCCAGGATTATCCTGTCTATTGTCTTTATACCTCAGGGCCCATTTGATGTGTCCTTGTGAGTCCTTACGTGTCCAGCTCCAGCTAGGT